GTATGTGATTAGTTAATCTCTTGAAGGGAAATTGTTGCCATCTATTCATTGTCCTGCGTAAGATACATTAGTAGTTTTGGTTTAGTTCCTATTTATCCTATGCACTGGTACAAGCTAGTGGCTGACAGGTTAGGCAGCAGTCCTGCAGAAAAGGGACCTGGGTGTTATAGTGGACAATAAACTGAATATGAGCCAACAGTGTCCCCTTGTTGCCAGGAAGGCTAACGGCATACTGGGCTGCATTGGTAGGAGTGTAGCCAGCAGATCAAGGGAAGTGATTAAACCCCCCTATTCAGCACTGGTGAAGCCACATCTGGAGCAGTGTGTCCAGTTTAGGGCCCCCCACTACAAAAAGGATGTGGACAAATTGGAGAAAGTCCAGTGGAGGGCATCAAAAATAGTGAGAGGGTGGGGATACATGACTTCTGAGGAGAGGCTGAGTGAACTGGGTTTGTTCAGTGTAGAGAAGAGAAGACTGAAAGGGGATTTAATAGCAGCCATCAACTACTTTGGAGTGTGGTTCCAAAGAGGATGGAGTGGAACTGTTCTTAGTGGTGGCAGATGAGAGGACAAGGAGCAATGGTCTTAAGTTGCAGCACGGGAAGTTTAGGTTAGACATTAGGAAAAACTTTCTCACTAGGAGGGGTTTGGACTAGATGACCTTCTGAGGTCCCATCCAACCCTAATTTTCTATGATTCTAAGTAGGTGTCCATATCGCAACCAGAGCTTCCTCCTTAACAGTATCAGCAGAGAAACTTATGACTGATGGTTGACTTTTCTTTTTTACTAGAAGGTGAGGCCATAAAGGTGATGCCCAGAAGTAGAACTTGGTTTATAGCTGCTTGCACTGTACTTGACCCACAGAATGAGCTTTTTGTTTCCAGAGTTCTTAAACCAGCTGTTCTGTCAGCACTAAAGTAATCTATGAAAAGGGGATGCTGGAGCTGGGCTTGAAATAGCAAAGCTGTGTCAGAGAAATAAAAGTTTGGAAGTTCTGTAAAGGTTGCCATGAAATATAACTTGACCTAGAACAGCTGAGTAATAAGCACCAAGTGTGTTGCCTTGTAAGAGCATAATTGGGATTTATCACATATGAAGTGAGTGCAATAACACAACCAACCCAGAAGCGTGCGCCAGGATAGCATGCTATGATCAGAATGTAAAGAACTAGATTTTAGCTAGCAGGCTTGCCATTTAATGTAAATGCTATGTTTATATATTTTTAAAGAATGTGTCAGGGAGGGTTGCCAGTTGGTAAAACTTGGGTAAGTGTTGATTGCAGTACAACTTTTAGATCTTAAAAAAAACTCTGCTACAGATGTCTGATGTACTGAGAGCCTGATGCAAAGCCCATTGCAGATCTGGACCTATTCTTATCAGTGGAGTGTCTTCACTGCGTGCAGTGAGCTTTAGATCAGGCCATTATGGAAATAGTCCTTCAGTGGCAACTGAGGCCACTGCTGCTTGTACCAAACCTTTCCTATGCAACTTTCTCTGCATTTGTTGTGAATTAGGGTTTGTCTTTGTTAACAGATATGCTATTGTATCCATATTAAAATGTACAGAGAACTTTTCTAAGCTCTCATAGCTGATCACTTTCAAATGTTTGAGCTGCATTGACATGAAACAATACTGACATTCAGTGGTTAATTAGAATTACCACAGTTGTGTGACCATCTCAAAAGAGATTTTGGAGGGTTTTAATGTTCAGTGCCTGCTAAATTCAGGACTTGTTTAGTTAAACTGGATTAAAGCAATTATGGCAAGGCTGCCGTGTCATTAAAAACATTCCCTTGCTTTATAAAAATTATCCATCTTTTTTTACTATTGCTGTTCCAGAAACACAATAAATACAATTAGCATTGGATTTGCTTAATATATGTCAAGAAGAGAACTAATTTATAGCTCTATTTCCATCCCTATCTGTAGCTAATTGGCATCAGGGAGTGTGTCTACATGATATGTTTTACTCAAGATTAGCACAGATTATTGCGCAGTAAGCATTGCTGTCTACACATGCAGATACTGCACAGTAATTTGTGTTCATCACAAGTAAATTTGCTACCTGTAAATAGAAGTATTGTTACTGTGCAGTATGGCATGTGTAGACAGCCAATCAGGAACAAACTTGCTCCTGGGCAGCAGGGAGCAGGAGATTGCTCCCTGCCCCTAGGAGCTGCTTCTTGCTGGGGCAGGCTCTACCACTGGTGCCCAGGTGGGGACACTGTCCTCCTGCCCCTGCTCCCTGATCACAGTGGGGGCTGGGAGATTTTCCTAGCCCCACTCTGTAACTTCAGTCGTGGAGCTGGGTCTGGGAACAGGCTGGATAAAATTTTCCAGCCCTCATCCTACAATTGTAGAGCAGAGGCTGGGAACAAGCTCCCAGCCTGTTTGTGGAGTGGGGGCTGGGAGCTCCCTGAATGGGGAGAGTTCAGCCCCCAGCCTGGAGCTGGCTGGGTCCTGCCCCTGACTGGGACAGTTCCTGGCCAGCCCCGGGCTGCGCAGGGTAGTCTACACATGCAGCCTGAAGGTGGTTGGGGACTGTCCTGTTTTGGGCAATCCCCTGCCAGCACCAGGCTGCACGTGCAAACTTCCCCACAGAGCCTGGGGCTAGCTGAGAACTGTCCAGTCAACTGCCCAGCCCCGTGCTCCTGTTGGGCAACTGAAGTGCAGGGCTTGGAAACAGCTGCAGGGTGGGGAGGGAGGGACAGGTCGTAGGTCCCAGTCCCCTGCCCCAATCCGCCAGTTTGGGCAGTTAGCCGTGAGACCCTGGCTGAGTGGAGAATCTGGGTGCTAACTGCCCTACTGGCAGATCAAGGCAAGGGGCTGGAACCAGCCCCTCCACTGCAGCTTTTTCCAAGCTTCCTGCCCCCAGTCAGGGAGCTGGGGACGAGAGCTCCCCACCTGGACTCCAGTGGCAGAGCCTGCCCTGGCATCAGATATCTCCCAGGGGCAGGGAGCAATCCACCAACCCCCACCAGGTGACAGCTGTCTCCTGGCCCTATGCTCCCTGCCAGCCCCTCTGCTAGCACCCAGGGGGAGCATAGAGCTCCCCCTGGCTGCTCCAGGAGGCTGATGCAGGGCCAGCGGGGGTGGGAGTGGACTGCTGTCAGGAGCAGCAAATCCACTTCTGCTTCCCCACATGTATAGATGCCTGCCGGGGGTGGTTTATGCTAGAGCAAACCCATCCCACAACATTTGCATGTGTAGACGCACCCAAGGATTCCTAAAAGTCCTCCTTTTAAGTGACATCTTGGCTCAGAATGTATATTTACCTATGTAATGGCCAAAGACGTGTCCTTTTTATGCATCTTCCCTAGGAAAAGAGGTGCTTTTAATATAAGTTAGCTAACTTTGGTTAAAGACCTTTTAGAGACAAGGCAGTTAATCCATTTCACAAAATAAAGAGGGTGCGTTAGACTAAGCAGCTTCATGGCTGTCAAAAGTACATTTTTCCACTAAGATAATGAATACACAGATTCAACATAATAAACAGATGCTTGGATTGTAATATTGACGGAGAGAGTCCTATCTGGAGTTAAGCAATTTTTCCAGCAGTATGATACAAGGCTTAAGGCATGTAGTAAGAAATGGTCAGTGTTTACTGGTTAGCTCTTCTTGTGGGTATACCACTAAATATGGCAGTTTTGGGGCTGAATAAATGTTTGTCATTGTTAGGTTTGTTGTGGAATACAACCTATTGTTGTTTGAAGTCCATCTTAGCCAACCTATCCAGATTAAAGGAAAATATTATTCTTTGGCTGTATGAGTTTAGTTGCTGTTCTTCCCTCCAACTAGTACTCTAGAAATTAAAACTCATTAACTATGCTGTTTCTTCACATCTGTCTAAATAACTTTCTGAACCTAGATATTGAGCACCAGTGCTAATATTTTAATCCCCTCAGGGTAATGCATTGAGCTTCCTTGCTATTTTTAAATGTGTGGAAGTGCTACCGCAACTTCTGATAGAGGTAGCCTCTTTGGCAGTTACAAAGAAAGTATTTTGTTGGGGTTTTTTGTTTTGTTTTTTAGCTAGATTGGTTAGCTAGTTCAGTTCACTGCCTGATTCATTCAAAGCTGACAAACAGAATGGCAATTAAGACAACAAAGACATCTTATTTTCCATATCTACTATGTGCATGAAAATCATATGAGGCTGAGATCAAATGTTTTTGTAATTATTATTACTAGTTATGATTTTCAAGACTCTAGTTTTACTACAAATAATATATATTGGCTACATTTAATAAATCTTTTAGTTTTCTTAAGTGAAGCATATTTAGACAAATGTACTTCTTTCTTAGGTATCCTGGGCACTTAAAGTGGGGAGGTTTTTTGCGTTTATTTAATTGTGTAACTGGTAACTAAAACTCTTTTTTTAAATGCTGTATTTCAATTTCATTCCTATTTTCATTTTCAATACAGCTTCAAGCACATTACAAGTAGAAGAGTAAACATTTTGTCAATAACAATGTCATCTACCAATTTCGAATGAAACTAATGTAAAAATTAAGAATCTCAATAAATGTTAAGCTGCATAGTTGCTTAAACAAACGTGTCCATTTGTTTGTCTACCTGGTTACTGAAAAATAGTCCCAGGTTCAGTAGAAGGGCTACATTTTAGTTGCAAATAACATATATTGCAATGGTTACCAAGCCATAAGAAGCTGCCTTTCTTTAAGAAAAAACCTGAAGTAGAAATGCAGAACAGGAATTAAAATTATTATTTAAATAAAATTTCCTGCTTTATAAAAATAATGAGTTACGCTATTTTAAATCAAACCATTTTGATTTATTGTTAGCATGGGTATGTTTTGTAAAATGTCTTTTACTTATTAAATATTACAGTAAAATGTATATTTGATGTGGTGACTTAAAAAAAAAATCAGTGTAGCGTGGTACAGAATTGCCACCACCGTGAGGGAGAGCTGTGAGAATTGATATCAATCTTAGTCACTTCTTCTGTTTGTTTTAACTTGTGTGAATGTGTCTCCAACAGAAAATGATCCACAGTCTGTTTCTTATAAACTGTTCTGGTGATATATTCTTGGAGAAGCACTGGAAGAGCGTTGTGAGCCAATCTGTGTGTGATTATTTCTTTGAAGCTCAGGAAAAAGCAGTCGATGTTGAGAATGTCCCCCCTGTCATCTCAACGCCACACCACTACCTCATCAGCATCTACCGGGATAAAATCTTCTTTGTGTCTGTTATACAGACAGAAGTGCCACCACTCTTTGTAATTGAATTCCTGCACCGCGTCGCAGATACTTTTCAGGTCTGTCACTGGTATAATCTTGGAATTGTCAGATTGCCTCAAGTGTCTCTTGCAAAAGCTTAAGTATTTTGAAGTAGCTAAACCCTTCCAGTTAATGATTTCCCCCTTGAAAACTGAGGATTCAAACCAAAAGCCAAGTATTGGTTTATAAAGCACACATTTACCTAAGATTTTGCTTTTTCATTTGGCTTCTGGCTATACAAACATTTAAGTGCACACAAGGAGAATGTTGTTTTACAAAAGCAGCCTTTTTTTAGGTATGCTTTTATAATTTTCCTTTCATACTAATTGGATGGAACTAAGTATCAATTATAATTCTATTTTTGGTAACAATTTCATTGGAGTGGACACTTACCCTGCTGCACCATAAACCTACTTGTTGGAGTAGAAATCACTGAAGAATCTCTCTGTTGCTGAACTTGGAGTGAGTGTTCCCAGGAGAGTTGAAAACTAGACTGCACACAGAGATATTTTCCAGACTTGTGCTGTACTTCATAGGAGTTACCTAATTAAAGATATGCATTAACATTAGTAATAGCATTTCTATACAGTTTTATCTCTTAAGTAAATTCAAATTGTCAAGCATTTTAACATGACTAAAAATTCTTTCCCTTTGTTCAGGATTATTTTGGTGAGTGTTCCGAGACCGCGATTAAGGACAATGTGGTTATTGTATACGAGCTTCTAGAAGAAATGTTAGACAATGGCTTTCCACTGGCAACAGAATCAAACATCTTGAAAGAATTGATTAAGCCTCCCACAATTTTGCGCTCTGTCGTCAACTCTATCACAGGTATGATTTTAAAATAGCCAACTGACTTTGAAGGTAGCTTTTTCTCTCTCCTTTTTCACTTTAATACAACAGAGTTACTTCATGTTTCAGATTAATGACCTTCATTCTGTCCTGATTATAGACAGCTAAGGGTATCCTTTCAAAATTATTGAAGTGACTCAGGAGTCTAAGGATTTGTCTTTACTGCAGAGTTAAACTCAATCTAACAACTCAAGCTACTGAGAACTGCCATTGTTGTAACGGTGGCTGCAGCACTAAGGCAGCAAAGCTGGTGTGATTTGTAGTTTTGGTGGTGGGGGCGATGATCTCTTTTGTACTACTTGCTGGCATAGCTATGCTAGTACAGCTGTGTCATATAATTAAGGGTTTTATGTAGCTTGAGCAAGAGCTTTTATGTTCCAAAAAACACAAGCACCACTGTTTTGTATTGCAATACAGATGAGCTGAATACTCAATATATCAGTGATTCCAGTATTGTCACTGCATGAGTTTCAGCTCGCATCAGGTGGACCAGCTTGCTTAAGTTTAAAGCATATCCTTTACCTGTGCATGGCTCTCGGGTGAGGACCAACACTTGCACTTGCTTTGAACTAAAATGAAAGTGAAGACAAGTCCCATGTCATTAAGTGAACATATTCACAAAAAGTTATAAATAAAATGTAGGTGTCTAAGGGTTTGTCGTACTATGGATCCTAAGGGGCTGTAAATGGACTGGTGTTGCTCTGTCAGTAGAGCCCCTTAGTAGAAATGCATCATATGCCAACAAAAGTTGTTTTGTGTTTTCTACTGGCCTTGGCGTACTGTTTCCAGGAACAAAATGACCCAAGCTGACAGAAGCCACCTTCTGTCAGTACAGCTATGTTGCAGCCTAGCTCTGGTTAGAGGTTGTGTTTGAAGATGCCCCCATTTTCTGCTTTTCTGCTAGCTTGCTTGGGCAAATCCCTGCTTATCGTGCTGGCTGTTCAGAATGTCATTCTGAACAGCCACAGTCTCTCCATGCAGGGTGTTGAGCATAGGTGTCTGACTCAGGACAGTGGAATCCACACAAGGACCAGGAACCTGAAAGTTCTCTTGTCATGTGATGTTGAGCATCCAGAGATGTGGGTTTTCCAGAAAATTTTCCAATGCCCTAAACAGAGCATGATCTGATTTGGCATGTTTATTCAACTTATATTTAGTAAACAAAACTAAAAAAGTACCACCATGTTAATTTTATATCCCAATAGCCACAAGAATTTGAACTGAAGTAGTTGATTAGGAAAAAATTAAAGACAGCATGCTTAATGTAATTTAAATGTTATATTCAAACAAATTCAAAGCTTTATGTGGAAGGAAATTATTTTTATTGGAATACTTGTAAAAATGTAAAGACAATACACAATAGCATGTGCTTCCCTTACATTGTTTAAATTTTAAGGAAAAAAACAAAGGCACTGACAACTATGGACACACAATTTTAGCATACCCAAAGAACTGTGCACGATGCGTCGTGGTTGTCCACTCATCTACTGCAACAGGGTTTAACTTTCTTCTGCTGAGGTCATTGCGGCACCTCCAGTTTCACTGTCACCATCTGTAGAATCACTTGCAGTACTTATTGGTTCCATTTCAGAATCTGATTGAGGCAAATCTGGTTCAGAACTACATGAACCACATTCTCTTTCACTAAAGGATGGTTTTACCAATGAGTCTATGGGCAAGAGCAACTTATCACACTGTATCTTCTTCACTAACTGTGCTTCTGACTGATTCTCAAGAAGCAAGAGATTTTGAGAAATAGAAACAAGCTTAGTGGTGCATTCATTTGTTAGTCTATTCCTCTTTTTTGTCTTGAATGAGCTGAAAGCCTTCCAGTTTCGTCCACAAGAATCTGCTGTTGGTGGAGTGCTTAGGATGCTTAGAGCAATCCTGGACAACAGTCAGGTGTTACAGTATTCCTTCCACCATGTGAGAGGAAACATATTCTCTGCTGCCAGCCAAATGTCTGTGCTCCAAAGTTTTTCTTTTGCACGATACTCGGCAATGTCTGTCGTCACGGCTATTTTGTTGATGTTGGAGACATTCTTAGCTATTTCCATACTTGTATCAAGAGCAATAGATAATTCATCTTTTGATAAATGTTGTCCTCTGGGTTGAGGATCCCAAAGGTTTGCTGCTAGATGAACTGGATGAGAGCAAAACTCAGATCACTTAGTAAACATTTATTTTACTACTGCTTTTTTGGATAGAGGTGAAGAAGGCAAAAGCTCGATTAGATTTTCATTCAGTTGTCTGAATATCTCTGGAATATTTGAAAGGCTTGGTGTATCTCCTTCAAGTTTCTTGATAGCCATTGAAACTGGTAGTAGCAAATTGAATGGTCCTTGAACTCAAAACCAGAACACGTCGAGAATCTGTTTCCGAATGTTCACAGAAATAATCTAGGATACTGTGTCATCTATTGAAGCGCACTGCAAACAGTTCTTTGTGCGCGACAAACTATGGAAACACTTTGTAGCTGAGCCCCATCTAGTTTCTCCTGGCAATACAAGTGCACTTTCCTTCCCCTGCTTCTCTTTCTGTAATTGCTTCAAAGTCTGATTAGCAACATGATGATTGTTCAGTACCTTCACAATCGCTTTGCAGTTTGCCAGTATTGTCTTCATTGTATTCAAATTTACTGTGTCCTTTGCCAGAAGTGTCAACCCATGAGGAAGACAGCCAGATGCTATTAAATGAGGATACTTTGCCTTTAATATTTGTCATGCAGCTTTCATGTTACTTGTATTATCAGTTACAAGGCCTTGTACCCTGGAGGGACCTGCACTTTCAATCTCTTCACTCAGTAATTTGGCTCTGCATTCGCCTGCATGACAAGAAGATTTGGTAGCAATTGCTTTCAGAAATATTGGTTCAGCTGTTGCAAACATAATGTTCAATAAAGGATTTCCTTGTACATCAGTCCATCTGTCTGGCATCAGTCAGTGATTTTGCTTGACCACTGCTTTGAATAACCATTGTTTGAATTCTGTCATACTCTTTCTCTAGGAGAGAATGCGATGAGGAATAACATGACGGTAAACTCATATGATGGGCGAATTAGTTTGTAATGTTCCTTCCAGTATTGATTTTCAGTAATGGAAAGAGGTGTACCACTTGCAAATATAGCTCAAGCTAATGTCTCATTTGCTTTTTCTTGATCTTTTTTTGACATTTTGTCCACAAAGCTTGATAAAAAGCTTGACTGTCTTGAACACCTC